GGTGACTGATGCAGGGTGCTACTGCTGTCCTGGGGCCTCCAAGCAGGACCTAATCCCTCCTGCCTCTGCCTCCCCAGATGCAGCCGCCTGCCCTGGGAGCCTGGACTGTGCCCTGAGACGGCGGTCACGCTGCCCTCCCGACTCACATGTCTGTGGGCCATGCCTGCAGCCTTTCCAGGAGGACGAGCAGGGCCTGTGTGTACCCAGGACCCTCCGGCCGCTGGGTATGTGGGCACCCCTGCAGCACAGGCCACCTTCTCCCAGGACTGAGGTGGCCATGAAGTCCCTGCTCTAGGGGGTCCTCAGGCCTGACAGCAGGGCACTCCGAGGCCTCTGTCCGCAGACTTGAGGGCCAGGGGCCCAGTGCAAAGGACGCTTGGAGAGGAAGGCCGGCAGGCCCTGCCCTGCCTTCCCCTCCCAGTGCCCCACTTGCCCGCCTGCATGCTCCTTACAGACATCTTTCTGTGAGCACTGACCCCAGCCTGAGGGTCGGGACCAGAGTGACTGCCAGTATGACGGCCGGAAAGCCCCTGTCCCCCTGCTCTTCCTGTGGGTGTCGTTCTGGGAGCTTCCTCCGCCTTGGCTGTGGCTCCCTCCCCACCTACCCTGTCCTCCCACTGTCCCAGGAGTAGGGGGCAGAGCTGAAGCCTTGGGGAGTCATGCTCCCCAACCTTGGCCAGAGAAGATGCCGAGGGTGAGCCCTTCAGGCCATGTGGAGGGACAAGGGCCATCTGTGCATGTCCCCCCATACCTCCCTTGCATGCCCTGCCCCCACTGTCCCTGGGAAGTGATGCTGCTGTTCCTAGGAAACGCCCTCACCCGTTACCATGACAACCAACGAACCAGGCCGAATGGGTACCAGTCCTTGGGCAGAAGCTTGGCCTCAGGCCCAGAGCCTGACTCCCAGATGTCCCCTCCTTCCTGAGCAGCCACCTGAGGCCGGGGTAGCCAGCTGAGGGAAGGGCCTGCCAGCCTGACGGCCCTGACCTTCTTAGGGAAGGGCTTGCCCCAGCCCAGGCTGGAAGATGAGATCGACTTCTTAGCCCAAGAGCTAGCACGCCACGAGGCAGGACCCTGGAGGCCCACAGACTGGCCTGAGGCCAGACGACGCCTTCTGCAACCTGGTGAGGCCCGGCTGTACCCTCTGCCGCCTGTGACCCACCCGGCCTGGCCCTGCATTCTAACCCACCTCTACCCACAGCAGCCACACTGGGGCTCTCCGAGCGCGGCCAGGGCCCAGGGCTGGGCCTCCCCTTGCCCCAAGGAGGCCCTTCGCCCACGCCCCGCACCTCTTTGGGACCTCCAGTGTCTTCGGGGCCTGTGCACATATCCCCGCTGAAGCCTGGCACCCGGCGCTGGGACGGGCTAGTCCTTGGTAGGTCTCATGGGTGGTGCAGGGGGAGGGAGTAGGGGAAGAGGCAGGGCTCAGGTGCCCCCCACCCTCTGGGGGTCCTCATCACCCCCCTCCCCGCTCCCCCCAGTGCTGATCCTGGTCTGCTCTGTGGCTGGAGTGACCGCCCTCGTCATGGCTGCCCTCTGCTGGTGCAGGTGAGCACGTGCAGGTGGCTGTGGATGCAGGTTGCGGGCGCACTCTACGCCACAGGTCTCACGCCCTGGCCTGCGCCCCCACAGGCTGCAGAGAGAGATTCGCCTGAGCCAGAAGGTCGACTACAAGGCCCAGAAAGGGCCCGGCTCCCCAACATCCCCCCGGATCTCCATCTCAGTGCGCAGTCCCGCCTCCGGGGACCAGCGGCTGGCACAGAGCGCCGAGATGTACCATTATCAGCACCAGAGGCAGCAGATGCTCAGTTTGGAGCGGTGAGTGGCCTCGTCCGGCCCCAGACCTGGCTCTGGCCCCCACCTGAGACTGGAGTGCTGTCCCCACTCCAGGAGCAGCGGCCTTCACCCAGGGATCTGGCCCCTGTCCCCAGACCCCTTCCCAGCACTCAGCCACAGTCCCCGCCGCGAGGCTTGTCCCTTGCACCCTGCACCCGGCCCAGACCCCACCACCCTCTGCCGGCCCCGCCCAGGCATAAAGAGCCACCCAAGGAGCTGGACTTGGCCTCCTCGGATGAGGAGAATGAAGACGGGGACTTCACCGTGTACGAGTGCCCCGGCCTGGCTCCGGTGAGCACGGCCCCGCAGGGTTCCGGGGGTGGGGGTGGGTGGGTGGGGAGGGGGCCCTGCCTCACCTGACACCCACCTGCCCCTGCCTTTGCAGACTGGGGAGATGGAGGTGCGGAACCCACTGTTCGATGATTCCTCGCTGGCCAGGCCCCCCCTGCTCTCACCCCCGCTGCAGTGACCAGGGCCCGGCGCCCACCGGGCGGAAGGGCCCAGCCGGGGTTTCCCAGAGAAGGAACCTGTTCCCACAGCACCTGTGGCTGCGTGAGGGGCTACTGGACCCCCGTGTGTGCCCTGGTGTCTGGCCCCTTCTGCCCACCACTCCTGTTCCTGGGCTCAGGAGCCAGACCCAAGCTGGATGGGGCGGGGGCCCCAGAGACCAGGTACCAGTTTGCATCCGTACCTTGGAGACAAAAGCCAATTAAAAGTACACTTCAATCCCTTGGCCTTCGAGTGGCTTCCTGGGTAGTTGGGGGTGGGCAGGTTACTCTGAGGCCCCCTCCCCATTGGAGTCTGGTGGAGGGACCCTGGAGGAGGCAGGCTAAGGGCATGCCTCTCTTCCCATGAGCCTCCCACAGGGCAGGGGGCACCGAGGCCACCTTTGGCCTACCCAGATCCCACCTGAGCCCAATCTCCCATCCTGACCGTGAGAGCATCTTGCTGGGGGGTTTGCCCTATGCGGTTGGGGAGGGAGGGGCTGTACCCTGTCCATCATCCCAGGTCCCACGGGTGGCCTGCAGGAGTGGGGCCCAGGACACAGCCGAATGCAGGCTTGCCACAGGGTGTGGACCCTCGGCTCTTAGCCAGGGTAGGGAATGGGAGGGGCAGGGGGTGTCAGCAGAGGGACGTTGGGGATAGGGCAACATACAATTAGCAGGACTGGGTGGGTCGAGATGGCAGCGACCTTGAGCTAGGATTTGTCCCCACCCCACCAGGAGCCAGGCTCCCGTGCAGGTGGGGGACACATCTCACTCTCCTTGTCACAAGCACTGAGGGAACAGCCATGTTCTGTCCCTCGTCCTGGGAGACGGGGTGCAGGGAGGCTAGTGTCTTGCTCAAGGCCACATGGTGCTGAGCAGGCTAGAAGCTGCAGACCTGGGCACATGATACCCCTGGAGCTCCAGGGGCCTGGGGCCTGTGGCCTGATTTCCCCAATCAAGCTGGAATTCAGTGGAAGGTGGGGGGAGGGGGTAAGTTTTCCCCAGGAAGGTCCAAGGTCATCCTTATGTCCTCAGCCTTCCCCTCTGCCCTGGCCCCAGACCAGCACTACCTGGTCACAGCCTGGAGCCCCTGCTCCATAGCCCTCTGAGCTGCAGCCAACTTGTCCCCAGAACCAGGGCCTCTCGTGAGGCCCAGTGGCAGGGCTGCCCAGGGCTTGCCCGTCCCCACCTCCCTTGCCTTTGCCAATGTCTCTGTGGGGGTCCCAAGACCCTTGCTTGTCTCTCAGCCCAGTCCTCCCCAGCAGGTACCTGGGGTCCTCTGAGGGGAAGGGCTGACCTGGGCACTAAGAACAGCCCCAGCATACCTTGTCTTCTCAGGGGTTTAAACCCTGACCCCAGGGTCTGCTGCACCCCACCCCCCGAAGTCCAGGTGAAAAGGGGACCCCCTTCAAGAGACAGCGACATTGAGAGGAGTGGGGGGCACTGCATCTGGGAAGGGAGGGGAGGGGCCTGAGATCTTGGGGTGTTGGTGCTGCCTACGACCTACCTGCTCTGCCCAGGTCCCCTGCCCCTGAGTCCTATGGCCTGTTCCCATGTCACCCACATACCGTCCCCCTGTCACACCTGTCCCCACACACCATTTCCCCAGCAGCAGCCAGAGTTCCACCCAGGCTTGGGCCTCCAGCCCATTCCACCCTATGCCTGGGGAGGTGGGTGTGAAGCTTCCACTCCTGACAAACCTCTTAGCTCTCCCTGTACCCCACCCAGAGGCCACAGATGACCCCCCCACTACGGGCCCGAGCCTTGAACACAGCATGTGGGTGGGATGATCCCCTTGATAAACCCTGCTAGCCGCCAACTACTGTTTATACCACCCTCCTGCCAGCCCAGAGTTCCCTGACTCCCAGATCGGAGCATGGTGGAGGGGCTAGGTACGCACTCACAAGGAGAAGTTCGAGGCGTGAGACTTGCTTGGGGAGCTGGACCAGCACTGGGCTGCCCAGCCCCCTCGTCTCTCCAGGTGTGGGGAGACTGGGGAGCCAGAATGGTGCTGGGCTGCCTCTGTCCCTCCAGGTGGAGGGCTCTGCCCCCATAGGCAGGTGGAAGGCACCTACGAAAGGGCTCCTGGCAGTGTCCTTGTGCTGCCCCCTTGGCACACCCTTTGGTCCCCTGGTCCCTAGGAGTCGCCCAGCCACCTCCCCCTGAAGGTGAGCCCAGCCCCAGTCCCAGCCCCATCTCTCCCCCCAGCTCCTAGCTCCACCCTCTTTGCTACTTTCAAGGCACAGCCACCAGGGGGCACTCCTGACACACCAGCTGCAGCTGGCCCAGGCAAGGCTAGAGGCCGCTGCCCACTGTGGGCAGGGGGCAGTCTGAGTTGGCTCCCTGCTGAGGCCTCTTCACTAGTGCCAAGTGTGGTGGGCACAAGAGCCGCATGAGGGAGTGCAGCTGGGCTCTAATCCCATGATGCCCTCAGGCTGCAGCCAGCCAGTCCAAGCCTTGCCCCTCACCTACCACCCAAGGATCCTAAACTGAGGAGGTGAGGGGAGAGGGCTGGGTCGGCCCGGACTCTCCTGTGACTCACTGTGCTTGCTCACCTCCCGTTTGTCCTGTCCACGTCGGGGCCACCGTCTCCTCCTGCTTCCTGCCAGCAGGTTCCCAGGACCACCAAGCTAGGCCAGCCTGTTCCAGGATGCGGAGGGGAGGCTGTGGATGCGGGTGGGGCCTGTGGTGGGTGGTGGCAGGCTGGCAGCACAAACAGGAAGGGTGGCCAGGTCCCTGGAGGGC